TTTGGTTCTAGGTGACCCAACCAGGACCCATTTGAGACAGTAGATTTATAATTTGGCTCTAGATACCCCAATCAGGACCCATTTGAGACAGCAGATTTTGGGGTTTGTGTTTAGGTAACCACATCAGAATCCATCTGAGGTGGCAGATTTGGGGGTTTGGTTCCAGGTAACCCCATGGAGACCCACTTGAGATAGCAGATATGGCAGTTTGGTTCTAGGTAACCCAACCAGGACCCATTTGGGACAGCAGATTTGGGGGGTTTGGTTCCAGGTAACCCAATGAGGACTCATTTTAATTTTGGGGCCAGCCAGCCAAGAGCTCAAACTGAGACCAGAAACCAACCACAAACACTTTGCACAATTAAAATATATTACACAAATCTGAGAGAAGGAGAACAGGAAGAGGATTTGGGGTCGCAAGGAGGGGAGGTGAGGGACTGGTGTGGTTCTGAAGCAGCAACATCTGCAGGCTCAGCTCCACTCCAGCGTGTAATCCCTGCCTAACTCCAGTGCAAGCTGCGTGACCAAAAGGACCTTGGAGGAAAAAGAAATAGAATTAAAATTGATGTTAAGAACATATATATTACAGTAATAATTAAAAAATGACAAACAAAAAATCCTGGCCTGAAGCGACCATTTTTTGGTGCAATAGCTCGACGTTTCAACCTCGCCTTGCTGTATTTCTCTTCACTTTTACCCACGTTTTTCTACATCAGAGTCCCATCGTTTCACCTCTTGGGACACAAAGAATCCTTTCTTTCATTGATCACCACCACCCAGCAATTCCCCATTTTGACCCTTTCCCACTCAATTCCATCTCTTACCCCAAAACACTCATTTTTCTACCCAATAATTCCATTCTTTAACTTTTCCCCTGACCCTTCCATCTCTTCCCACAAAACACTCATTTTTCCACCCATCATTTCCCCATTTTGACCTTCTCCCACTCAACTTCCATCTCTTCCCCCCAAACTCTCATTTTTCTATCCATCAATTCCCATCTTGACCTTCTCCCACTCCACCTTCCACCTCCCCCCACTTGACCCCCCATTTCCCCACACATCAGTCCCCCATTTTGGCCTTTTCCACTCCACCTTCCACCTCCCCCCCTCGTCCCCCATTTCCCCACCCATCAATTCCCCATTTTGACCCTTTCCCACTCAACTTCCATCTCTTTCCCCCAAACACCCATTTCCCCTCCCATCACTTCCCCATCTTGACCTTCTCCCCCTCCCCCTTCCACCTCCCCCCCTCGTCCCCCCATTCCCCCCCATCAATTCCCCATTTTGACCTTTTCCCCTCAACTTCCATCTCTTCCCCCAAAACACTCATTCTTCTACCCAATAATTCCATTCTTCAACGTTTCCCACTCAACTTCCATCTCTTACCCCAAACACCCATTTCCCCAATCATCAATTCCCCATTTTGACCTTCTCCCACTCCACCTTCCATCTCCCAACACACAATCCCCCATTTCCCCACCCATCACTTCCCCATCTTGACCTTCGCGCCCTCCCCCGTCCACCGCGCCCCCTCGCCCCCCATTTCCCCTCCCATCACCCCCCATACCTGCGTCGCGCTGTCGTACAGCAGGACGTGCTGCGATGGCAGCTGAGCTCCGTTCTCGTAGACGCGGAGCTGCTGCACGGCGCCGCTCTGCCCCAGCACCCTGATGGTGTCGAAGTGCAGCGCGCTGGGCTCAGCGAAACCGCGGTGCAGAGCGCGGATCTGCAGGGAGCTCTGGTGGGGAACGGAACCGAGAGCGGGCTGAGCTCGCCTGGGGCCCAGCGCACCGCACTGCAGACCCTGAAGTGTCACTGCCCTTCATTTTACCTCTTTTATTTTGCTTCATTTCCTTTTATTTTACTTCCTTTCCCTTTATTTTACCCCATTGCCCTTCATTTGACCTCTTTTATTTTGCTTCATTTCCCTTTCTTTCATTTCCTTTTATTTTACTTCCTTTCCTTTTATTTTACCTCATTTCCTTTTATTTTACCTCATTTCCTTTTATTTTACATCATTTCCTTTCCTTTTATCTTACTTCCTTTTATTTTACTTTGTTTCCTTTTATTTTACTTCATTTCCTTTTA